CACCACCAAAAACGCGTCCACAAACCTCATCCGCCCATCCGAATGCATAGTCCTCAACAACGCAGACGTATTACGTCGCCGGTTGGGGTTCGAACGCGGCAGCGCCAGGACCGTTCCGTTGGGTGCTGTCAGGGCTGATGCATCTATTGGGGTGGTTTTGATCGCCGCGAGGCATGTCTGGGGGGGCGGAGGAGGATGAGCCGCTCGAAATGAGACACAGAAGGCATTCTATGTTCATGCGGGTCTCACCTTGCATGTGGGTTCATCCTTGGTTAGGCAGTAGATGTTTGGGACTGTTCCTGAGGTACCTTTGGGTGCGCGGATCGAGGGTCAAGACGATGGGTGTTTGGCCCGCGCCCCATATGCGAACTATCCCCCCGCGAGCCGCGCCCCCTTCCACCCGCGAAACCATACCTGTCCCCAGCAGAATGAGTTCGTAGATCCCAGGTGTGGTGTCGGAGCTGTGTCGGGGTTGAAAAATGCTGGTGATCAAGACCTGAAATGGACGCCCCCCCCCCCATCCCTAAAGACGGACGAGACTCCTGTTCAATCGATGCCTTGCATTTCTCCACCGCTCCCCTCTGGCCGCGTGGCAGAGTACGAAGTGGTCTACAGCCCCTACTGCAACACTCGACGGCATTCACCTGTCGTCGACGGGCATGGTGGATTCACTTGCTTGCCGAAGGAAACGGCGATTCAAGGAGCATTTTCGTCAGATTCGTGGCGGGGTTTTGGCGCGTGTTCGCGTTTCGCCGCGTTTTCCAACACAACCAGAATCTGCCAGAATCTTCGTCTGCCCTGTCAGAGATCGGGACATCGGGATGGCACTGGCAAGGATCCATAGAGAGCTCCGACACGCCAAAAATGGATGGGAAGTTGCTGTCATTGTTGGAAGGTGCTGTGATGAAGGGTGGCGCTTCACCGCATGGCGGAAAACAAAAAAAAAAATCGGTATGTGCTGGGGCAAAGTCGTCAGAGTCGGCTTCAAGTAAGCATGCTTTCGTCGCAACCCGAACGGACCGGTACCCCAAACCCGGATCAGAAGCGGTTCCCATCCTTCACTGGGTCCCTCCAGCTGTTTTGGTGCGAAAAAACGCTCATTTTCGGGTTGCTGTCGGCCACGGCGGCGTTCATTTGCGTCAACCGAAGCAGGCAAGTAAATTGACATCGACTAACTGTTTTGGTCGACTCTTTCCACTGGGAGCCTGTGCTCCCGCACTTGTCAATCATCGTGATTCTGAACCGACTGATGCAAACGATGGGCCACCCTTTAGAGTTATACAGAGCTTACATCGTTCATCATCAGCAGAACGGACTGAACCCCCAACGGACCAGAAGCGAACCCGCCTCACAGATCGAATCTCGGCTGGTTCCCATATTTGACTCGCGCCTGAAAGTCTCCTTTTCGTGTTGGGTTGGTTGGAGCCGCCGCCCGCCATAGTGAGTTGATCTTCATCCAAAGAAGCAGAGGAGGTCCACTCACATGGACTGGCCCACGAATGGCGTGACACTTTTTCCGATCCGCGCTCGTGCTCCTGCACTCGATGTGCCCAGTCGCAGCTGAAAGCAAAGACGGGGAATCATACGCCTGCGGCTGTCGAGATTTTGTGCAGATTTTCGATCGCTTTATTGACTGGGTTGTCAGCAAGAGGAATCCGACACGTAGACATAAGGGGAGAGGATACTGGTCATTTTTTGAGGGTGGGATGTGTGTGTGTGGGGGGGGGGCCTGGGAGGGGTCGAAAAGAGATTGTTCGCCGACTTGTGCCAGGCTGCCAGCTGGTCCAGATTTTTGAGTGCACGAATGGCAAGCCAGCAAATATTCCACCGCAAGCAGAATGGACAGCAAGCGAACTTGATCGAGACTGTTCTCAGGTCCGAACCTTATGGTTTCTATCGCGCTCGCCCCTCAGCACTTTTTTTATTCGAGCCCCCCATCTGGTTGGGTTGACTGTTGGGGGTTGAGAGCAGGGAGGGCCGTGAGCAGAGCGTGATTGCAGACTTGCCGAAGAAAGCAGGCGATTTCCACTCCCCAACAACTGACCCCCGAAGGATTTGAAGCTGTTACCAATCGGTGCCCCACGCTCCCGCCGACCCTATCCTGGGGTAACAGAAAGAAAGGATTCCATTAATGGGCGATCGTGCGTCATATGTTCACTGTCGACCCCTTCGGCGAATTTTGTGAGGACTTCCTATCCCTTTATTGACGCAGTTGAAACAGACCCAAGTTATCATCTTGTCCTGCAAACACAGCATCTGATTCTCTTTGCAGATCATCACGGGAGGGAGGGAAGGCTGATGAGATCAGCATCAATTCAAGCTGTGACCGAAGCACATCATGATGGAACGAACCAACCCCTGGACCTCAGTGGAAACAGTCTGCGAATGGGTAAGCCCTCCTTGTGCACGAGAGGCAGGAAGGACTGAAAACGAACTGCAACGGGTCAGTAGCAAGCCTGCTCGAAGATTGAGACTCGCCTGGTTCCCATCCCCGAATTTATCGCTGTGACACATCTCCCTTTTCATTCGAGAAACTCTTCTTTTTGGGTGGATCTGGGTTGTTAGCAAAAAGAGGTCCGAGAAGCATTCATAGAGAGCTTGAAGATACACAGTTTTCTGAACGGGGGGCGGTTTGGCCAACGCTGCCCCATTGTTGTTCACCCAAAGTGGAAAACAAAGAAGGAGGATAGGCAGCATCAATTCATTTCGAAGTGAGGAGCAATCCTTCGTCCATGATCATCAAACAAATGAGCTAGAACCAATGGACGCTCACGCTCACAGATCGAAACTCGCCTGGTTCCCATCTTGGAGCTCTCGTAACCCGCTTCCGTTTGAAGAAGCTAGCCTTTCGGGGTCAATTGCTTTGCGGGCTGCGAGCGGGACGTGATTAATCTTCTGTTGAATGTTCAGCGAAACAACCGACAGGCGATGTAACTTTACTCGGCTGACCCGTGACTGGTTTGATGCTCTTTTCTTTGAGCGGGTGAGGAGCTGCGCATGATCCAGCAGACTCTTTCCAATTGCAGCGGCAAGAAAAGATGGGTAATCTTGTGAGAATGGGCGGAATCAACTCACTATGGAGGAACCTGTAAGCATTCGTCCATGTTCGACGACACAGGCGAGGGCCACTCAGAGTGTTCGCACTTTTCATTTGGCGCTCGAGTTCCTGCGTTCGGCAGACTTTTTCCAGTCGATACGTTGACCGGCGGCATCACCTACTTTCTGGAGAGCGGAGAAGCCTTCTTTGACAATCTGGTGCAGCGGATAGCTTGGACAATCGGGCCCAGAAGCGAGCCCACCTACTGATGGAAGCTTGCCTGGTTCCCATCATGTCGGAAGCTCCTCGACAATTCTTTTATTTCGAGAATGTCTCCTTTTTGAGCCTGCCAGGTTGCCACTCACAATCTGAATCGGCTGACCCACCCATGGCTTGAAGCTCCTTCCAAGAGGATGGTTGTGCTCCCAGTCCCGTGGTGGACCTCTCCCATCGCACCAAAGAGAAAAGACTGGCAATCGGGCACTTCGATCGTGTTGTCAGCACCGTCGAGATAGACGAAGGGCTGGGTTGTCATCTATAGCAGCGATCGTTGATGGTAGCGAGAGCGAGAGAGCGCATGGATCGGTTGAAGCGAACTTAACCCGTGGGGGCAGGTGACCGCACGGGGGACAAAGGGCTCGGGACCCTTCTCAACTTCCATATTCCATGCACCTTCCCGTCAACCAACTCATTCCACTCTGGAGCGAGGGCAGCGGAAATGAGATGTGATCCATGCTTTGTTGCCGCACTCCCAAGAGGCCTGCTTCCCTGCTATCTGGGGTCCAAATGAAGGTCGCAGCAGGAACGTCTGATCAGCAAAACAGCTGTGGTGCGTAACACACGTGAAGCAGAGAGCCCTTCGGGGTTGCAAGTGATTACACGTCCTCCCTTTGATATCTCCCCGTCCGGGATTCGAACCCGGGTCGCCACGGTGAAAGCGTGGAATCCTAAACCACTGGACTAACGAGGATGTGAAATATACGCACTCCGCTACAATTTATAATGTACTCTTAGTGAGCAGTTAAAGTAATAGATAAGTAGTTTCTCTACGGCAGGAGGGTCTCTAGCTCTCGACAAAAACGGACAATGGCAGAAGCGGAAGCAGGGCTCGGGCTCGGGATATACCTGCCACCGTTTACGGTTCGCTCCGGGAGGAATGAGCGCCAACCACGAGGGAAGGAAAGCCGCTGACCGGGCATGCACGGGGGCAAGCATTGGGGCAGCGAAAAGGCAACCGGTCGGCCTCCTCGATCTTCGGATTGGAGCTGAAGTGTGGGCGATTGTGGGCCGCAATCGTGCGAGTCTGAGGGAGAGGTCGCTGCGGACTCGTCGACGAGGTGAGGTCGTGATTCCTTGGAGACGGGAGGTGGGTGCCGCGACGAGCTTTTCATTGGTTCAAGGGGCGTGACGACGGTGGCGCGCGCGAGACGCCCCTGTCTGCTCCGTCGGACGCAGTCCCCTCACGGCCCTGTTCCCCAGTCCCCGGTCCCTTCCAATCCTCACTCCTCACCTCACCACTTTTTCCACCTTTCCTCGCCGCACCTTCCGATGGCACCAACTCCCCTCCACCCCCTTCGCCTCAAATCACCGACGCCAGACCCCGGCCACACTCTAACCCCGCCGGCGCGGCTGCAAAAATATAGTTCATTACCGGGTTCTTCCTTTGCGGACGAAGATGGCAGCGGGGGAAAGGGTGAGGAGGGGGGGATCTCGGGAAAGGGCATCAGGGGCGGAGCGCGGTGGGATCGGCGGATCGTCCTGCTGGCTTTGGTGTGTGCGGAAACGTCGAGGGGGTTAGTTTTGCCGACTATGTACGTGGTGTTGGGGCGCGGGTCCTGCGAGGGGGGGCGGAGGGGTGGAAGGGGGTTAAAGCGTTCTATGCATACATTTGACGATCCGTTCGTATCTCGCTCCCCTCCCACACGGGCATCGCAACTCATCCACCAACATGCAGGCGAGCAGTGTGGGGCCCTCGGCACTTGGAGATTCGCCGTCGTTGG